GAATTTTTATAAAAGTATCAGGAGAACATGACAATCGAGGAGCTCTTCACTGAAATTTTCACTGAAAGTGAAAAATTCGAAATTTTTGCCAAAGTATCAGGAGAACATGACAATCGAAGAGCTATTCACTGAAATTTTCACTGAAGGTGAAAAATTCGGAATTTTTGTAAAAGTATCAGGGGAACATAACAATCAAGGAGCTATTCACTGAAATTTTCACTGCAAGTGAAAAATCCGAAATTTTTGTAAAAGTATCAGGGGAACATGACAATCGAGTAGGTATTCAGTTTTTAAAGAATAATTCGATTGATTTGCCATTAACAAAAAAAAAAAATTGGAATTATTAAAAAAAAAAAAAAATGAATGATGCCGGGATTGAACCCGGGCCGTTGGCGTGGTAGGCAAGCACGTTACCGCTAGGACAACGCGCTATAACAATAATATAATTTCATTAGGAGTATATATATTGAAAAACTTTCGTTTTTAAAAATGTCAAATTGTTCAATTTCATTGCATATCTCCTCGATTATCAAATATTCAGTTTTTAAACAATATTTAGATTGATTTGCCATTAACAAAAAAAAAAAATGGAATTATTAATAAAAAAAAAAAATGAATGATGCCGGGATTGAACCCGGGCCGCCGGCGTACCAGTCGAGCACGTTACCACTAGGACAACGCGCTCATTTAAAATTATAAATTCATTAGTGGTATATATTCAATACATTGAATAATTTTTTCCATTAAAATTTCACAAGATGTGGTTTCCCCCTTCCGTACGTGCTACAGTCGGCTAAATTTCAGTTAAACAAATGAAAAACAAAAAGCATTCGTACAGCAGAAAATAAAATTCACCCCGTCGACTTGATGGATACCCCAGCATTGCAATAAAAACTTGGTTAATAAAAAAAAAACACCCCCGCATTGCGTGTTGCGCCCTCCCTCTCTTGGGGTGCAGAACTGAGCCTCTACTTTAGTCAATCCTCTTTGCTTTAGACAATTCTCTCTGGGTTCATACATGTCTCACGTAACAGCTGATACTGACAAAGCGAAAAAATACACCAACATCAGCACCCACGTTGTCACATCGCTCATTATTCCGATACGCTCCGGAAAAATTGTAATCTCAACATGTGTCTACTTATTATTACTCGATATAAATAATTATCGCCGTTTGTTAGTCATTTAATGCGCATTTCTGATACATAACCGGCAGTTGCGTTTCAACGTCCATTTACGAGACATTTCAAGGAATTCCGAGGAGAATGGAATTCCAGGTCAGGGCTTTTCTAGGGGCATTTTTGATTCTTTCAATGGTGGAAAATTACTGGGGGTTTACAAATGTTTACCCAAAGATGAAGGGCTATCCTTTGGGGATCGAAGAAGATGTGGGAAATCCGTTATTTCTCACGCCTTACATCGAAAGTGGAAAAATCGAAGAGGCAAAAAAAGCCGCCAGTGTTATCCATACAGAGATGAAGGATGTTAGAAGCTACTCCGGATACCTGACTGTCGATAAGAAATTAAATTCCAACATGTTCTTCTGGTTTTTCCCTGCTCGGGTAATGATAAGAAAAATTCACTTGACTCTTCTTCCGGTGAAGTGAGTCCTGCCTCGATCGCCCGCAAATTTTTCATGGAATTATTTGGCAATATTTGTAGGTGGACCAAAAATCGGCTCCAGTGGTCTTGTGGCTCCAGGGAGGTCCAGGGGCGACTTCCCTTTACGGCCTCTTCACCGAGAATGGGCCTTTCATGGTTACCAAGAAACTGACCCTGGCCATGAGAAAATACACCTGGAGCATAAATCACAATCTCCTGTATATAGACAATCCGGTGGGGACTGGATACAGCTTCACGGAACACTCGGAGGGGTACGCCAGGAATGAGACCGATGTTGGAGAGAACTTGCATAGAGCTCTCGTTCAATTTTTCCAGCTCTTCCACGAGCTCCAGCCCAATGACTTCTTTGTTACCGGAGAGTCATATGCTGGGAAGTACGTGCCAGCCTTAGCCTATACTATTCACACGAAGAAAGACACATCCCCGGTGAAAATCAACTTGAAAGGTCTAATTCACCCTCTTGCTATTTCATTTTTTATTATTGATATATTATAATATCTACTAATAGTGAAAGAAATTTTACTGCTCGCAGGTCTAGCAATTGGAAATGGACTAACTGACCCGATTCACCAATTGAATTACGGAGATTATCTGTACCAGCTCGGCCTTATTGATTTCAATGGACTAGAGCAGTTCCACGTGTATCAGAAACGGGGGATCGATTTTATAAGTCAGAGCAAGTACGACGAGGCTTTCCAGGTGTTTAACCAGTTGATCAACGGGGACCTAGATACCACCCCCAGCCTCTTCCAGAATCTCACGGGTTTCAATTTTTATTTCAATTACTTGAAAACTCAGGATTCGAATGAGTCGCAGTGGGTGGCAGAGTGGATTCAAAAAGCCGACGTGAGAAAATCCATTCACGTGGGCAACTGCAGTTTTAATTTTGAGGCGACTATTGTCGAGGATCACTTGAAAACTGATATCACCAGATCTGAGGCTGATAAGGTCGCCATTCTGGCTCAGCATTATCGTACGCTGATTTATAATGGTCAACTCGATATTATTGTGGCATACCCTCTCACGGAGAATTATCTGATGAACCTGCAGTGGCCTGGGGCTGAAGCTTACAAGAAAGCAGCCAGAACCAAGTGGATAGTCGACGGGGAAATTGCTGGGTACGCCAAGACTGCTGGAAATCTCATCGAGGTCCTCGTGAGAAACGCTGGCCATATGGTACCTGGGGACCAGCCCAAGTGGGCCCTGGACTTGATTACCAGATTCACGAGCGGAAAACCAATCTAGGGATCAAATGTTTTTCAGTTCTTGGAATATCACCATGATATTTTGCATTATTTACATGTAAATAATTATCGATCAAGAATAATTAATTGGATCAATATGATAATATGTTTAATTTCGGTTATGTAAGGATAATCTTGAAGTAATAAATGATTTGATAATTAATTTTTTTCGTCATGAAATGATAGAATCAAAAGACATGAAGATACAGCGAGAAAAAGTTTCTTATAAACTTTTTTGTAGAACTTGGCGAAGCCAACACCAATTATGATAACACAACGCGAAAGTGGGTAGGAATTACGTGACGATCCAACCACAGAACAGAATTACCGCAGTCGTACCCTAGTTTGTCCGAGTGCTTGTGGTCTATGAATTGTCATAATCTGAGAAAAATTACAAAAAAAAATGATATGCCGGAGAATATTACACGCTATCCTGGCAGTCGGCCTCGTCGAGGCGTCTTCAGGTGCAGCGATACACCAGGTAGGATCGTCATCCGAAAAACCCCCGATTTCTCCTCCTCCCGGGAGGAGTTCTCCTCTTTTGAATGGTTTGTCCACCCTTCGACCGGAATTGGTACAGACCCGCACGCTTTCCGACACCGATAAAACCGTTTTGTCCTCCGGAGTTAGCGAAATCCTTAGCCAAATCGACAGAACCTCCACCTTGAGAGCCTCCCCGTCGGTCAACGAAGTCATTGACGAAGTGGATCACACCTACGCCATTAAACAACCCGATGAACGCCTGGTTACGCAGGTCAACATGGTTCATGATTATGCTCAAGGTCGAGAGAACGGTGTGGACGACGTCTTCGTGAAGGACGATACGAACCGCGTCATCGCCATGGATAATTCACGTGGAGAAAAAAAAATGGTCAGCTCCGGTAAATCCAACGCGGTGGAAGCGATATCTCAACCCGGCGGAGTCGAACAGACTTTCCGCGTGTCTCAGGAAGATGATTTTCAGCAGATTGAGGATCACAACGGACTTGAAGTAACTGGGAACACTCGCACAGATAGAATTTACCTGGAAGGTGAGGAGAGCAAATTTGAAATTTGAAAAAAAAATTCCTCCTTGAAAAAAAAGTGAAAAAATGCTCTGCAGATCAAAAAGTTTTCCACCTTTTACAAAATTGGTAATTTTATAAATAATTTCTCTGATCGAATTATTTATGGTTGTATTTTTTCAGAGAATTCTGACGAAGTAACTTCTTTTTACTCCCTGAACACGACAGACAATCGGCAGATGCACAACCTCGTTAGGAATGGCAATAACATCGAGGAGGATACGAGCAAATCCAACGCAACAGGTTTGAGTTACACAGACGAGGGTGCAGCGGTTTTTTCCGTCGACGGCACCGAGAAAAACTTGAGGGTTTCAAATAAAGGGGTTCAGGCGTTGATTGGGGTGGATAAGAGCAAAGGAGTCTATAATTCCGTAGACAATAACGGGAATAAAGACCTGATATTGATTGACGAAACAGCGCACAATATCGACGTGGAGGACGGGGTCATCGGGATGTCTTTGAACACCAACGACATGAACAACGTTTTCGGTTTCAAAGACGAAGACGGCACCGTGGGTGCGTACGAGGAGAACGGAACAGACCACTCGCTAACCATCACCGACGGTTCGCTCAGCGCGAACGTTGACCTGAACAACGTCGACGAGTTGTTCGGGATTTCCACCCCCGATGGTGTTGCCGACGTCCACCAGATCAGCCAGGCGGGTGAATTAATTATAGTTGATGACGGGGAGCGCGGGGTCGCGCTGGGGGCTAAAAAAATTACTGAGGCCCAGGGCCTCTTCGATAACGGCGACCTGATAACGAGCTTCCAGGGGAATCAGATCGACAGAGCCCTCTCGATTGCTGAGGGCTCATTCGACGGCACTCTGCAGACGAGTCAGACAAATGGAGTCTATCAGATGACCCGTGATGATGGACAAGTGGAAGTTATGGAGACTGAGGAGCAGATGATCGATCAGACTATCGTCATTGACGATGACCGCGGAACGCATGAGGCCCGTGAGGCAGACGAATTGGTCTGGGAGACCAGTGCTGAGAGACCAGACGAGACAAATTATCAGCAGAGTGAACGTTCTCCTGTAATCAATGGCTTCAGCACCTCTAGACCCGAACCGTCACCGTCGTCACCCGACATCAGCGTCATTCGGGGAATTTCCAAAATTCAGAGCGAATCCCGTCGTGGTGATTACCGTGGAACGGAGGCTCCACGCTCCACCTACAATGCCTTCAGAGATCTCGTCACCAGATTTGATCAGCTTTATCAAGCAGGGGACATTGAAAAAATCGGAAACATCTTCGGGGGCAGAAAGAAGAACAAAATTGATGTCCAGATTACCATTAATATGGAAATCTAATGGTTGAGATAAGTAAAGCCGCATAAAAATTAAATGATATATTAATATCCCCGTCTCGGAGGAAGTTTATTGATTTTTTGAGAGATCATATCTATTGGAAAAACAGGAAAAATGAAAATATTATAAAAGAATTGCAATGAAAATTCAATAGAATTTTTCAGAGCGAATTTTCTCTCCTGCCATTATCAGTTTGCTCGCATGAAGTGAATAATCGTCGGTTAATGAAGTTGTTAACGTTATCAGAAGTACAGTCGAATGAGAAAGCTTCGACATCGAGAATGTTCTCCATAAAGTCGCAAATACAAAACATGAATACTTAAAATTCCCATGAGTTTATTTTTTATTTACAAAAATTTCAATAATCCTTGGACGACGCTTTATAAAAATGATTGGCAGTAAAATTGAAAAATCGTAAAGTAAAAGCAGTCTTTCCGCCCGTTGATTGAATTGTACTAGTACTTGAGTAATCGCGGATTAATCTAAATAGGGTATAATGTAGAGATCAGTGACTGTCTGGTTTTCATGCCACATAGAATGGGGAATCCCTGGGACAGTGTGGGTGATAATTTTTTTGAGTTTGTCTAGTGTTTTGAGGCCGATTGCGTCGGTCTCGTAGATCGATCTGTTTCGCATATCGAGAATTGTTGTATTATCACCGAAATATCCGAATTGACTGCTCTGCCACGGGGTTATCACTCCGTCGTCGGGTCCTCCGATCAGTACCAATTTTTTCAACTTAGTGAGGCCATCCTTGTATTGAGTACCATTGACCAATTTCTTTTCGCCATTTACGAGCGGGAGAAATTCACTGTATTGGAAATATAATTCCTGATGAAATGGATCATTCCAGTAATTTCCAACACTAGTGTGCTGTCCAATTTTCGAGTAAAATAATTCATAGACAGTCTCGCAGACTAGATCAGGGAAGAATAAATGGAGAAATTTTGTTCCGTACTGTCCGGCCTGTGGTGAGCTTAAGGAAATGAAATTTCTGACATTGTGCTCGGGGAATCTCTGGAGAATGGCTCTTGCTATCAATCCTCCCTGGCTATAGCCCAGGAGATTGATGCCACCCGGAAAAGCTGCACCAATAGCCATGATATCTTCACCAATTTCCTCTATCTGTCGCCACATGGGCTCTAAACTGCTCCAACCAGCGTATCTCGGGATGCTGTATATTTCCGTTCCTGGATGCATCTAAAATTATTTTGTTGTAAATTAATGACCACTTAGCTTATTGAAATAACGCGCAATTCACCTCCTGAATGCGTTTGCTGATGTTACTCATACTGTCGCTGCCTGTGAGAACCCCATGGATGATGACCACGGGGTTGTACCCAACAACCCCATGGGAATAGACTAGATTCACGAGAAATAACAGCTTTAAATTGTATAATTTATTCCTCATAGTCGAATTGACGGGGGTGTAATTAATAAACAGACTATCACCAGTAGCATCTCAGAAATCACTGACTGTAACTGGCCTTGCATTTTTCACGTCAGATTTCGGGACTCTCCAGAATCATTAAAATGACCATCAGTAAATTAAGCACTGACTGATAATAATTTACTCACCACCAATAATTCATCACATGATTTTTCAATGTATCCCTGAATCCCTACACGTTCTTCAGTCGGTCAAAATATTGGAGAATCGACATTCAAAAGGATTCGGGATGAATTAATAATCTCAATAAAAATGAAGGAATACGTGAAATGCATAATTCGTGGTGGTTAATTTTAACAAAGTCGTGATTTTTTTTTATAAAGACTCGAGAGAAAATTCAGGGGGAAGAAATTCGGGGAATTTCCATTAGTATCAAAAGGGGAGCAGACAATTTCTCAACTCCTCGCAATACATCACCTCAGTGACATTGAGTGCGTGCTCCCTTGCAAAATTTACTTCCCCGACACCCTTTTCCATAGGACACAGCCCCGAAAATGCCAGGTGCATTGTTTCGTACTGGCGTCATCGACGATTAACCCCCTGCTCCCCTTTGCGTAACCCAGAGTTGAAAGGAAGGGATGATATCCCTTCGGTCCCCTCTCGCAACGACAAAACGATCGAGACCGCGTATTGTGTAGTATTTAGGGCTTGTTTGTCCGAGTGAGGACAATATCCAGGCGTGACACGTCTTAATTCCTCCACTTCCACTTCTTCATGAACATTCAGGGGTGAAATCAAGAGCCGCCGAGTCACTCCAGCGACATTTTTAATATTTTCCTTCGTCATCGTGATAATAGAAAGGTAATTATCTCACTGAGAATATCACATTCGTCATTGGAATTTTTTGAAATTGTTGGTGCAATTAATTAATCGAGTCGGAGGCCGATCATCGAATCAATCATGTCCACTCGATTTATTTTCCCTCCAAACAGCATCTTCTACCGCCCTATCTAAACTCAAAAAACTCATTCATTTTTTTCATCTTTTTTATCATCTCCGAGTTGAACCAATTCAATTCCGCGCGGGAAAACTCAAGCGTCGAGGGATGGTGGTATATAAAAAAAAAAAATGCCGCGGTTAGAATAGGGAGATAAAGTGAGTCTGTGTGCGCACAGAGTCTCTCCAACCAAAGACCGGTGCGGTGTATCTCGGGAGTGTTTTTTCTCCCGTTTAATCAAGGATATTCGCGGTTGGCTAGACTCGCGTATTTCACAGAATCATCGCTAGACTCCTACATTCGACCCTGCTGTCATGAGAGGCTATTTTTTGAGAGTGTGGGACTTCTGAGAACCCACAAAAAACCCACAAAACCCTCGGAAAGGGACATACTTGTGTAAGAAAGAGGGTCGGATTACGAATCTCATCACGAGAGATCCCTCATCTCCAGGTGTCACAAGAGATGTTCCACGCTTTCAGTAGAATAACATTCAACAGGGATCATTGTTAATTGGTGATGAATCGCAACATGGGGCACTGAGTGATATCCATCACTCTACCCTCGGTATTTTGCTATCACGACCTTAGACGCCCCTTCATTGAGCTTGATTTTATCATTATTATGGAGGTTATCCATCATGGCGGCAGTACACCACCTCACTGCGTGCGCAGGCCGCCATTGGTCTCCCTAACCTCAAAGTAATTCCTCAAAAAATTGACATTTCCCATTTCTCATTCAATTTGACTCCTCTCGCCATGTACCTTCTTCTAATCCACCTCAAAGTGTCATCCCCTCCTCTATTTCTGCATACCACATTCCCCGAGAAAACACTATCCCCGGATGACTCTCTCGTTTTCCGAGGAGCGGACGAAAAAAAGGCTCGCTCAGATATTCAAAGTCGAAAATAGTTTATTCATGGTCGGTCGGGAACTTAGAGAGATATTGGAACCGGGCCGGGAGTGAGGTGATATTGGTCGGGCGGAAGTGTCCCCTCGGGGAAACGGGAAACGGTAGAAGAGGCGTCGTCTCTCCGATCCGATAAAGCGAAGAGGCACCCCCTGTGGTACAATCCTCCCTCCATCCCTCCATCCCTCCCTCACTCATCCTCGTCCTTTTTTTAAACGTGCACCGCTCATCCTCCACCTCTTTCTTTATCCCATCTTCTCTGCATCCCGATGTTGACTCTTTCCCCGTCTTTTCGATGTAACTCTTACCCGACGATACCACTGTGACAACCGAGTTACCAATAAAATTCGAATAAACTTGCATACTAAATTATCACATCTTCCATTACCCGTGCGCCTTGCTCATCCAATTCACCGTTCAATTCCATACGCAGTTGATGGGGCGTATCGTGTAACCACACTATCACCATTTTATTGAGCTATGGGTCACTCGAAATTTTTATTCATACGAGATCATCTGCGTATGCTCCGCACGCGCATTCATAATAATATATCAAATAATGTCTTTAGGATAATTACCAAAATTGCTCCACCAATTCTCTATGAAAGTGAGAATATAAAACAGATGCAACCAAAACGCAGCAACCTCACATTTACTCGGGATACGCGTGGATTTGTAAATATTTTTCCCGAGGGTGTTTTCATGATGCGTGAAGGTTCCGAGGTGTAAGGATGCGGCGCAAAGGAGCGAACAATAGTCTCAGTTGTTGGCAGGTTGATCCTCTTTGAGTAATGTTGAAATCTGGGGTGTTCCTGGGAACGTGCAGATGACCCCCTCGGAAATAGTGAACCCGAGGGTACATAAGCGCGTCGGGTGTTTGTTGCTTGCAATCGCTGGATGAGGGTATCATTCTCCAGTAAACCGCAATAGGACAATAATTGCGGTGTCATTAACGTCGACATTGACTGATCCCTTTTTCCCTTTTTCGGGAGAAATGGCTTCAATCAGTCGTGACGATCACCTACACTCGACAAAAAAAAAATAATTCTGGTGGATTTTCAATTTTATTTGCAGCTGCTCTTGCCTAATTACATTGGAAATCGTAATTTTTATGTGAAGTTTATTATCACTTTGGTTGGAAAAGAGGGTTAAAAAGTGAGGATTGAACTTAGTGTTTTAGGGGTGCAAGGAGTTAAGTACAAGTGGAGTGCCGGGGCACGCCGGAGGTGGGATGGTGGGTCGAGGAGAGCTGGTGGCTTTAACTCGGTAAGAATTAAAGTGAACTAACGCGACCCTGGGAGGGTTAGGCAATGGCAGGAAGAGTGAGGTGTGCTCAAACCCCCCGTCAACGATTATACTAATAGTCGGGGCGTAGACAAGCCCTCGATACGAGGGATGAGGACAGCTAGCGACGCTAATTGTTTTACACCCCTTTGCGACCCCTTGTCTCTTTCCACTTGCTCCAGACAATTTCGATACTTCAACCTCTCCGAGAACTACACCTCTTTTCCTCAGTTAACAATTTTACTCTTTCCCTTCATTTGTTTCTGACGACTTTTTACTTTTTTCTCCACTAGATCGATTTTATAACGGGATCACAGAAGATGTCATCAGGAGTAATCCCTTTTTTTTTCGTATTTTATCCTGTTTAATTACATAAGGCACTTGTTCAATGTTCCTGTTATCTAGAAAGATCTTTTTAAATTTATTTATTTATTCCTCGCCGTGACGCCTTCAAATTTTTCTCTATTCTCGATTGCGTCCGTGTCTAATTGATTCTTCACGCCACGTATATAGGCGTACGTACTTGGATACCCAAGTTCAATATGGGGTAAAGGGCACCCGATAGACCTATGCATTATGAATCCACCTGATTTTCAACACTTGCTCATTCTCACACACATTGAAAGTTGGAGAGTACACGTGTATTCCAATACACATGCCACTGTGTTGCAGGGATCGTAATGTCTCCATTCGACGAGGTCCATCGGATACACAATTTGCCAGAGGGGATCGGTGTGGTACCGCCCCTTCGATTCTCTCCATTCGATAAATCTCTCGGTGCACTGTATTTCGGCTGTGTCGTTTATATTTAACGTCTCTGTTACTGCCCTGTCGATAACGCCCGGATTTCCACTGAGGGGAAATTTGCATTTTTCGGGTGGCCAAGGGGGGAGAATATTTCGAGCATCTTCGCCGTCGTGTAATTGATGCACTGGAAATTGGCCGTGTAATGGGTGTAATATGGGACACGTGCCGGCGGCTGCCAACTCCACCTGCACATTTTCATTTCATTTTTTTTTTTCGATATCTCGTTTCAGGACAATTAAATATTCATGTATTTTATTTATTTTAGAATATTTGAATGAATGAAAAAAATGGAAGAACTGCATTTTTTTTCCGTATTTCGCCTGAAAAATATGAATATTTGAGTTGTACAGTAATGGTGCGCTCGGAATTTATTCGCAATAAACGTGTGAATGAATAGAACAGTCAATTCGGTAAAAGAGCAACGACAATGTCGACATATGGCGGGTGAAATTGCCGGTGGGGCAGCAGTAATAATATTTAGGGAAGAGCCCAGTAAGCGCCCTGGTGTTTTGTCAAGACTCGGAGCGCCGACGGGGTCGTCTCGTCATACCACACACTCCCGTTTACTACTTCTCTTTTATCCAGTTCTACCTCTGTCTCTATCGTAACTTCACCCCAGTCGCGTAATCCACCGTAATGCTCTTGAGCGATACCGTTCACACTGCTAATAAACTCATTCTGCACTCCCTTCACACCCTTACATCCAATTTCTATCGACTTACACCTTGTTGAAAGCGATTAGCATTTTGATTGTGGTTTCGTGGTGGCTATTTTCGTAACTTTGATCTCTCCACTATTTTTCAACCACTGAAATTCTTCCAATTTTTAATACATATCAAATAGGATTGAATTAATTCAAAGAAATTCAAAGAGATTGTAGGAAATAATTAATTATAAAAAAGGTGGGAAGATGTGATGGGTTGGTGTGGGACATGTTATTTGGGCAAAAGCTCAGCAATCACGCCGGGGTGGTGTTGGGTTTGTGCGAGGGCCGCATATTCGTTGGCCCTGGGATTAGCGAGATCATAATCAGCCAATCGTCGGATGGGGTGAGAAAGAGAGAAAAATATCCACTGGCAGTATTGAAGTAAGA